ACATCGGCACATCTTGGGCCCATGTTGAGCCTATGTTGGGCCTACGTTGGCCTATGTTAGGCCTATGTTGGCCTAGGTTGGGCCTATGTTGGGCCTATGTTGGCGTATGTTGGCCCCATGTTGGCCTATGTTGGCCCCATGTTGGGCATATGTTGGGGATATGTTGGCTATCTTGGGCCTATGTTGGGGATATGTTAGGCAATTTATGTTGAAAAAACTTGCGAGACATTTTTTGACGATTTTTCCTTCCCGCAAAGCAAAAACACTGGAAAAACCTACGTTTTTTTTTGACATCGCCAAGATGAAATTCTTGGCCGCCGAGGGGCCCAAAACCCTGTAAAACAAAGTGTTTTTATACCTCACACGCACGAAACACTGTAAATTACAGGGGCATGGCGGCAGGGGGCGCCATATATATAACCTTCTGTCACCAACGAAGGCCCTCTGGGCATGCCACGGGCTTCCTGGCCGGCGCCCGGATTTATGAGGCTTACGCCTGACAGCCGGGCGCCGGCCAAGTAGGGAGCAGGGAGAGGATATGTGCGGGGAGAATCCGCCCGACCCCCGCCCGAACCCGGTGGACAGATTTATATGTAATTTACCGTGTTTCGTGTATGGGAGGTAAAAAACACTGTGTTTTACGGGACTGCCGCTCGGTGGCCGAGAATTTCATCTTGGCTATCAAAAAGCGCAGGTTTTTTTTTTTTCAGTGTTTTTGCTTTGCGGGAAGGAAAAATCGCAAAAAGCTGTCGCGGACGATTTTTTTCAACATAAATTGCCTGACATATCCTCAACATAGGCACAGATAGCCACAGCGATGTCCCAGTGATTCGCACCTCAAAAGAAAGGTCGGCGGGACCAGGGCGGAGCCTTTACTATCCGGGCGCCGGCCAGGACGCCCGCGGCATGCCCGGAGGGCCTTCGGTGCTCTCTCTCTCTCTCTCTGAGACTTGGTGGAGCTATCTGGTGCGCATCTTGGCCCTGGGCCAAGTTGAGCCCATGTGGTCTATGTTGGGCACATCTTGGGCCCAAGTTGAGCCTATGATGCCTATGTTGGCTTAGGTTGGGCCTATGTTGGCGTATGTTGGCCCCATGTTGGCATATGTTGGCCCTATGTTGAGCCATCTTGGAGGCTATGTTGGGCATATGTTGGCTATCTTGGGCCTATGTTGGGGAGATGTTAGGCAACTTCTGTGCCCAACACCCACGAAATGTCGATTAAGCCTGTCCGCGCGGCACGCATAACCGACACCACCGGTGCCCTGTTAGGCGCAAGTCATGTCGGCCGAAGGCCACGAAACACTGTAAAAAAACGATGTTTTCCACATCACGCGCAATCATGCTGGTAGATAAAATATATAACATAAAAATCTGTCAAAAATCTGTCGACCGGATTCGACCTGAGGTATACACGCGGCTTAACAAAAGGGTCGGCGGCAGGGGGCGCGAGCGTATATAACCTTCGGTTGCCAACCGAAGGCCTCCGGCAAGGGAACGTGCGCGTGGCCGGCGCCCGGATGCCCCCCCTGCCGCCGACCCTCGCCGCGAAAAACGGGGGGGCCACCGGGTCACTGATGCCCCTGTAATTTACAGTGTTTCGTGTGTGTGAGGTCTAAGAAACACTGTGTTTTACAGGGTTTTGGGCCCCTTGGCGGCCGAGAATTTCATCTTGGCGATGTCATAAAACGTAGGTTTTACCAAGGTTTTTGCTTTACGGGAAGAAAAATCGGCCAAAAAATGTATCGCAAGATATTTTTCAACATAAATTGCCTCACATATCCCCAACATAGGCCCAAGATAGCCAACATATCCCCAACATATGCCCAACATAGCCTCCAAGATGGCTCAACATAGGGCCAACATAGGCCAACGTGGGGCCAACATACGCCAACGTAGGCCCAACGTAGGCCCAACCTAGGCCAACGCAGGCCAACGTAGGCCTAACATAGGCCAACATAGGCCCAACATAGGCTCGACGTGGTCCAAGATGCGCTCAACATAGACCACATGGGCCCAACTTGGCCCAACCTAGGGCGAAGATGCGCACCAGATAGCTTCGCTTTGCAGGCCAACCGACAGAGCCAGAGACAGAGAAGACAGAGACAGAGAGAGAGACACCGAGACAGAGACAGAGACCGACAGAGAGCGAGACGGAGAAAGAGACAACAGAGACAGGCGACCCAACATGGTTGTAAGATTTTCACATGTAGTCGACGCTGCTGGGGCACTAGCTTTCGAGCGGCGGGGGCGAGGAGCGGCGGGGGCGAGGAGCGAGACGGCGGACTAGTTTTCGGTTGCAACGGCTCTCCCGACTTTCGGCTTGTGCTCAGAGAAGCCAGGGCAGTCAGCCTCCTCCAGTTTGGAGGATGCTGCTGGGATGCCCCATGTCCCAGCCCCCGCGCAAACCTCTGTTCTGGCGCGCTTTGTTTGTAATTGTTTGTCTGTCTGTGGTTTACTGCGTCTTGATGCGAAATGTGTAGCACAGGCAACAAAAACAGCCTAGCAAACGACACCATCTATTTCCACACCAAAAAGGGACGCGCCGCAGCCAGCCAAAATGCCTAACGTTGCCTCCTGGAGCCCATAAAACTAGTTGCCTGGCACGTGCCAGAAGCTCACTCCGGCAATCTGGCCGTAGTGGCTGTAGTAGCAGCCCAGACCTGTCCTGCTACGCTGACAAAAAGGGCTGGAGGTGCTAGACCGCTTAGTAGCCCAGGTCATTGGCCAGTGCAAGTCCGCATAGTAGCACAGGTCCTTGGCCATGGCTTCTTGCTGCGCTGTCCCGGGCACTGCGGCTAGGCCAGGGTCGGCGGATATGATACGCAAGACCATATATAGGCCACGTGAGGCTACGGCCAAGACCCACTGAAGCAAGGTAATTTGCCACCCGTGCTGAACCCAAAGTTTCACACTCAATGCTTCCGTTCTACACCAAATTGTTTTTATTTCGTGCTCTCAAGAGTACTCAACCTGAGGCGAGCGTGATTTTGCACATGTTGTCTTCAGTCGATGGGCGCAATTAGTTAAAAAAAATTGCACTACCGTAGACCCCAAACAGTTTGTGTTTTTCAATATCGGAACACTCTGCAAATAGAGCTTGCGACGTCCAGAGCTGGGAGACAAAGGATTGCAAGGCAGAGGCGGCCACAGCAGTCCAGAGCTGGGAGCCCAGAGCTGGGTGACAAATAAAGGATTGCAAGGCAGAGGTGGATACAGCAGTCTAGAGCTGGGAGGCATTTGTCAAAGGATTGCGAGGACACATGTAAAGGATTGCAAGGCAGACGGCCACGGCAGTCAGAGCTGGGAGACAAAAGTAAAATTCAGGATTGCAAGGCAGAGGCGGACACAGCAGCCCAGCGCTAGGAGACAAATGTAAAGGATTGCAAGGCAGAGGCGGACACAGCAGCCCAGAGCTGGGAGACAAATGTAAAGGATTGCAAGGCAGAAGCTGACACAGCACTCCAGAGCTGGGAGACAAATGTAGACACAGGGAGACAAATGCGCAGGATTGCAAGCGACACGCAGCCCAGAGCTGGGAGACAAATGTAAAGAATTGCAAGGCAGAGCAGCTGGGAGACAAATGTGAAGGGTTGCAAGACATGTAAAGGAAAGATGGAAGACCAAAAGAAACAGAAGGGAAACAAGACGGACACAGTGTCCAACAAGAAGGAGACAAGACCGGAGACAAAGCGAGACAGAAGGGAAGGCGGACACAATGACCAACAAGAAGGGAGACAAGAAGGGAGAAAAAAGGAAACTCAAGGGAGACAAGACGGACACAATGACCAACAAGAAGGGGGACAAGACCGGAGACAAAAGGGAGACAAGAAGGGAGACAAGGCGGACACAATGACCAACAAGAAGGGAGACAAAAGGAAACAGGAGGGAGACAAGACGGACACGGTGACCAACAACAAGGAGGACAAGACCAGAGACAAAAAGAAACAGAAGGAAGACAAGGCGGACACAATGACCAACAAGGAGGGAGACAAAAGGCCAAGGCGGACACTCTTAGAAAGCATTTAGAACCCCTATAACCTGTTTGGGGGGAGTAATGAATAGAAATGTTGCATCGCCAGCGGAAAAGGGCGAACACCACCAGTGACAGACCTGGGCGACAAATGAATAGACATGCTAAAAGGGCGGACTCCAGCAGCGACAGACCTGGTGGGAGACAAATGAATAGACATGCTGCATGGCCAACGAAAAGGGCGGACGCCAGCAGCGACAGACCTGGGAGACAAATCAACAGAAACGCTACACGCCAGCGGAAAAGGGCGGACACCGCCAGTGACAGCGGACACCAGCAGCGACAGACCTGGGAGACAAATGCATAGAAATGCCACATGACCATGAATAGAAGTGCTACATGGCGGAAATGGGCGGACACCGCCAGTGACAGACCTGGAGACAAATGAATAGAAATGTTGCATCGGCAGCGGAAAAGGGCGGACACCAGCACAGACCTGGGCGACAAATGAATAGACATGCTAAAAGGGCGGACACCAGCAGCGACAGACCTGGGAGACAAATGAATAGACATGCTGCATGGCCAACGAAAAGGGCGGACACCAGCTGCGACAGACCTGGGAGACACATGAACAGAAACGCTACACGCCAGCGGAAAAGGGCGGACACCACCAGTGACAGCGGACATCAGCAGCGACAGACCTGGGAGACAAATGCATAGAAATGCTACATGGCCAACGGAAAAGGGCGGACACCAGCAGTGACAGACCATGAATAGAAGTGCTACATGGCGGAAAAGGGCGGACACC